GGCATATGGGGCCGGCGCCCTACTCCTTGAGCCACAGGCGCCACCCCCAAGAAGTCATTCTTAAGATGAACTTAACTTACCTAGAAGCAGTGGTCAATGAATCAATGGTTGTCTGGGTTAAGTTTCTAGAGCAGCAGTTCTCAACCTGTGGGTCCTGACCCCTTTGTAACAATGAAAATACGTTGCTGCATTAGGAAGGTGGAGAACCACTGGTCTAGAGGTTCTTAGTAGCCATAGGAAAAGTCCATGCCCACTCTTAGCTATTTGTAATGCTCCGAGTCTTAAGTAGTGCTACAGTTTTCTTGCCTTTTTTGGCCTTTGTTGTAAGACTAGGAGGAATTGTAGTAGCCCTTCATAAAACCTTTTCTGCTCCATCATGGTGATTCCCTGCCTTGGTCATGATGACTGACTTACAGCATCTTTCTTTTCTCCCCATTTTGATAAAAGAAAAAGAAGCACATAGTTTGAAGGGGACATTATTATAATTCCTTGGCTTGTACAGTAGTTACTGTAAGTTACAGTACATATTTCCTGCAGAGCTAGAGTCATTGAACAACAAATTTTCACATAAGTTAGGGTCAATTTTGTAAAATAATAAACTGCAAATTAGCATAGTTTGGAAAGATTTCTCACATGTCTACTTGGTGAACACTGAATGAGATCATTTACCTGCTTTTAATGAGAGACTTTTTTTCCCATTTCATCCAGAACTCTGTTTGACCTCAAACATCAAAAGTCAGACAGTTCCATCTTATGTCCAACATCATTTTGGATTCTGGTACAGCATTGGCCATCCTTCTGTGATCTGTGTAAGGTGTTTTGTGTAAAACATTTTGCTCCCTTTTAGCCCCTGAGTTATACTGAGTCAGATATTTACTACCAAGCTGACTGCATTGCATGCCTAGGATGATGCCCAAGTAGAGGAGCTAGAAGGGACTGAGGCATGAGAGGCTGCAAGGGGCCAGGATGACTCTGGTTTGGCTCTATAGGAAAAGGTCTTGGACAGTGGACCTGAGGGAACTTAAAAGAAAAAAGAACCCTCCAGGAATTCTGCTTTATTTGATCTGGGGTGAGTCCTGGACATGGATAAGATATTCTTTAAAAGCTCTTTGGTTGATTTTAATATGCAGCCACAGTTGAAACACTGCTTTGGTATTTTTTTAAAAGTATAAACAAATCTTTTTACTTACAGATAGGCATAGATGCATTTATTGGCCCCTGTTTAGACTCTTGAAACATGCATGGTTAATCAGAAAATAGACTCTAAGCAAAAAAGTTATTATTTTTTGAAAAATCTTTTTTTTTCATTTTGAAACATTCTTATTTCCATTGGCAGACTGATGATAAGGGTGTTTTTGCAACACACCTTTCTCAAGAGTACCAGTTGGCAGCTGAAACATTTAATTTGACCCAGTCTCAGGTATGGGATCTGTCTTACAAGTCCATCAACTACATCTTTGCTTCTGACAATACCAGATCTGAACTGAGGAAGAAGTGGAACTATCTGAAGCCCAAAGTGTTACATTTTTAAGTTGTAAGGAGGTGAACTACTTTTGAGTATGTTTTGTAACCAAGACGTTCCTGCTATATCTCATGTAGTAATCTGTCCACCACTCCCTTAGAAGTATAATAGTCAAGTACCATGGACTTGACCATCACCAGCACCTTACACATGGTGGGTGTTCAATAAATGTGTCTTACTTAGCTTACCTCCAAGCTACTTACTGGAATGCACTTGAGCGTTGTTGCTGACTAACTCTCCACTAGAATCAGTCTCTCCTCATTAGTGATCATAAAACTTAAAGGAAATAAAAGTAATTTCTCATCAGGAAATGTTTTGGAATTACTAGTCTAAGGTAAAGAAAGAGGGGAAAACAGATTGCCACCAAGACATTTAACCTTTCTAGCCTGTTACATAGCTTTATATTTTATTGTGCTGAGTATAATCAGATTCCCTTCACTTGGTTTAACTTTTTCTCTTTTTTTTCTTGAGATAGAGTCTCACTTTGTCGCCCTCAGTAGAGTGCTGTGCTGTCACAGCTCACAGCAACCTTCAGCTCTTGGGCTTAGGCAATTCTGTTGCCTCAGCCTCCCGAGTAACTAGGAATATAGGCGCCTGCCATAACACCTGGCCATTTTTTGTTTGGCTGGGGCTGGGTTCAAATTTGCAACCCTCCATATATGGGACCAGTGCCCTACTCACTAAGCCACAGGCGCTGCCTGGTGTAACTTTTTAAAAGTATTCCTCAAGACTGTTGACACTAGGCCATTTAGATAAAATTAAGGCTGATGATACCCCTAACTTAAATTACTAAGGGTTTTTTTTTTTTTTGTATTTATATTTTATAATATATAGCTGGTCTTTGACCGTGTTTCCTGGCTTATGGGTTCTAAAGTCCGTAGCATCTCCAAAGTGATGTCTGTTTTTTCTTTTTTAAGACAGTCTCAGTTGCCCTGGGGTTGAGTGCCGTGGCATTAGAGCTCACACAACCTCAAACTCTTGGGCTTAAACAATCCTCTTGCCTCAGTAGCTGAGACTACAGGTACCCACCACAACTCCCTGCTATTTTTTTTTTTTTTAAGAAGGGGTCTCCAGCTTACTCAGGCTGGCCTAGAACTCTTGAGCTCAAGCTGTCCAGCAGTCTTGTCCTCTCAGAGTGCTAGGATTACCAAAGTGATGTCTTTTGTATGCTAATAATTGACTGATGACAGGCAGCCCCTAGGTAGTTGGGGGCTGGTCACCTGAAAGACCAAGGCATGATTGGTGATCTCTGGGAAAGGAGAGGGGCTGAAGGTTCAGTTGATCACTAGTGGTTTAATCAATCATGCCCACATAATGAAGCCTCCATAAAACTGCAAAGGACAGGTTTTGGAGTGCTTCTGTATAGCTAAACATGTGGAGCTTGATGGAGGGCAGTATACCTGAAGAGAGCATGAAAGCTTCTCCCCTGTCCTCATACCTTGCCCTGTGCATCTCTTCATCTGTATCTTTTGTAATGTCCTTGGTTATAAACTAATAAATGTGTTTCCCTGAGTTCTGTGGGCTGCACATTAATCGAACCCAAGGAGGGGGTGGGAAAACTGATTTATAGCCCATTGGTCAGAGGAACAAGTAAAACCACCTGGGGTTATCACTGGCATTGGAAGTGGGGAGCTATCTTGTGGGACTGAGCCCTCTACCTGAGGGTTCTAATGCTGTCTCCAAGTAGTGTCAGAATTGAGTTAGAGGACACCCAGCTGGTATCCACTCTAAAACTGATTGCTTGCTTCTTAGGTGGGGAACCCTGCCCCTGCCAGCACATTTGTTCACGGGAGTCTTCTCTGGTGTGAGAGTAGAGAAAAACAGTTTTGTGTTTTTTCTCCTCACAGACTTTCTTTTAGGAAACAGGGTAGAGGGAACAAGTTTGTAATCTTGCATAGGTACCCATTCATACAGAAATTGCATAGTAAAAACATTATGGTTAATCCATAAAATGTGGATAGATTGCAGCCACTAGAAATGTTGTGGAATAAAATTTAATGTTGTGAAGATGTTCATGATAATATATTCATTGAAAAATGTGCCTATAAATAATTTTATAGTCCATTTTTTAATACAGGGCATCCATAAAGTTTGTGTGCAATTTACTGTGTTACACTATTTTAAATTGCACACGAACTTTATGTCCACCCTGTATATATACAAAAGCTGGTAAAATGAGTGATGTAATTTATATTCCAGCTTTTTCATGAATTTTTTTTTTTTT